TGGCAGGTGCCGGTGGAGGAGCGGTCGAGGCCCTTCACGGCGTTCACGGTACCAGGTCGGGGTCTCTTCGAGTTTAGGAGAATGTCATATGGGTTGCATAAGGCACCCGTGACTTGGCAAAGATTTATAGATTCGGTCATAGGTCCAGAGTTAGAGCCCCATGTCTTTGTTGACATGGATGACATCATTATCGTCACGAATAATTTTGAGAAGCATAATTTTGCAAGTAGTTTTAGATAGGTTGGCTAAAGACGGACTTAGGTTGAACAGGACTAAATGCAATTTTTGTAGGTCAGAGTTAAATTATTTAGGCTACGTAGTAGACAAACACGGTCTATACGTAGATCCAGAGAAGGTAGAGGCGATGATTAACATCGAGAGACCCAAAAATGTCAAACAGGTTAGGTCCTTTATAGGTACAGTATCCTGGTACCGTAGGTTTATAAAAGATTTCGCGGAATTAGTTAGGCCCCTCACCAAGTTAACAAAGAAAAACCGAAAATTCGAGTGGAACGAAGATTGTGAAAGGAGCTTTAGGGAGGCGAAGGAATGCCTAGTTACAGCGCCGGTTTTGAGCTGTCCAGATTTTGAGAGACCTTTCACAATCCAGCCAGACGCGTCTGATTTCGGTGTAGGAGCAGTGTTGACGCAGAGATTTGAGGACGTTGAGAGGGTTATAGCGTATTTGAGCAGGTCCCTGAATAAGAAGGAGAAAAATTATTCAACGACAGAAAAGGAGTGTCTAGCGGTCCTGTGGGCGGTTGAGAAATTGTGACCATATGTTGAGGGCGCTAAGTTTACGGTTGTCACTGATCACTATTCCTTAGTTTGGCTAAACAATTTGAAGTATTCTTGTGGTAGGTTGGCGCGTTGGTATTAAAGCTTCAGCAGTACGATTTTGAGATTGTACACCGGAAGGGCAAGGGATATGTGGTTCCAGATATGTTGTCTCGTAGTGTGCCAGTTGTTTCTGAAGTTTCTACTAGTGACCCTTGGTTGTTGAAAATGATTCGCTCTGTTGAAAAGGAACCCTTGTCATATCCAGCGTGGAGAGTAGAAGGTGGCTACCTCTACAGATTCGTTAAGTCAAAGTTCCCCTCTATCTATGGAAACTCGTCGGATTGGAAAAAGGTCCTAGGGCGCCAGGAAAGGTTGATGGTTCTAAAGAAATATCATGATGACCAGTTGGCGGGTCACATGGGTGTCAGAAAAACTTTCACTAGGGTTGCACAAAAATTTTGTTGGCCACAGATGAAGGCGGATATAGCGAAGTATGTGAGAAATTGTAAAGTTTGTCAGCAGGTTAAGCCTGATAATTCACAGCCAGCTGGGGGTATGGTCGAGAGGTCCAAGGCAGTCGACCCTTGGGAAATTATTTGTCAGGAGATTGTCAGGAGCGAGCAAGGAAGCTCGAAGATATTAGGCGGGTTGTGAGGTCTAGGTTAGAAGAGGCCAGTGCCAAGTTAGCGAAGCAATATAACCTTAGGAGGAGAGACGTTCAATATATGCCAGGAGAGCTAGTTTGGAGGAAGAATTTCGTCCTGTCAGATGCAGCAAATTTCTTCGCGGCGAAGTTGGCGCCGAAGTACGTAGGACCGTTTGTAGTAAAAAGGAAGGTGTCGCCATGGACGTATGTTCTGGTGGAGGAAGCAGGTCGAGATATGTTGAATGTGATAGAGTTAAGGCCATACAGGGATGGATAGGAAATAGGTTTGTCGGAAAAAGAAAGCGGGCTTTTTTTTAAGGAGGAAGGGGTTAGGTTGGCGCGTACTGGCCGCAACAAAATATTCTTCTGTTCCCCCTTCGTTGTATTTACCTATTTCCTTTCACTCCAACCGATAGGAGTGAAGTCTTTCGACACTCAAGTGTACATATGTATGTACATACCTAAATAAATATTAGAATGAGCTCAAGTTGAGCGAAATAGTTGTTTGTCGGAGGAGCACCACGGCAAAGGGGAAAAGTCTCCATTAGGGCACTCCGCTCCAAAACGGTGCCGATCGAGGGTAAGAATGTAGGAATGCGAGATGACGCGAAAGACCGTAGTAGGGGTGTCGCCTTTGCTTTCATCTATTGCGGCACTTTTGTTGTCTGCCGTATGATGGCAATGGCAAGTCCATGGTGTTGTTTGTGTGCGCCGTGGTGGCGACCGCTAAAGCGCCCAATTCGCTTCTAGAATGTTCGGGCCAGCGCCAATTGATCGGGCACCAACAACACCGGCGCTGACACTCCAACGGTTTGCGTACCGGTGCATAGGTTGCGGCCTGGCTCGCACCTGCGTGCCGGGGCAGATCTGAACGAGCATCGAGTCAGGCAACACCCGTATTGCGAGCGCAGCGTAATTTATTATTATTATTGGCAGCGGAGATTCTTTTAGTCAAATAAATTTTTTTTAAAGTGTCAGGCGAGGCGCTATTGAAGCAAGAACTATTGGAGAGCAGCGTCAGTTGGGACGTGTTATCGTCGGCACCGGGTTTGGGAACCATATTCCCAAGGAGCACCACCGCGGTCGGAGCACCCACCGACCGCCGATAAGTATAATTTTTGTGCGTGTGTGGTCAGACGTTGTTGTTGTCGGTAGGCTTCCCCTATTGTGTTTCCTTATCCCATCCTTTTTAGCATCCTGCACGCAGAGCCCAGTCACTTGGCGGGTTAAAGTTACCCCCGGCAGCTTGGGTGGTATTGCGAGTGGGTTCGTAACCTTTTGGTTGGACCTCACCTCGGGTGCGCCCCAAAAACAAGGTTTTGTCTAAATTTCTACTGGTGTATTTAATATTTTTGCGCTTTGTGTATTTCGACCCACCCTAGTGTCAGTGTTACATACATACTCGTATGTCTATTGTACATAGTAGTTTACATTGTTATTGTCCAATTTGAACTTAGTTTGCCTTAGGTATTTGGTATACTACCCTGTTGTTCCCCCTCAAGCAACCCCCCCGTCTCCACTGAGCCAGCCGGTTGCTTGGTTTTTTTTGTCATCTCCTTTTTGTGCGGCCAAATGGTTGGGCCCGTTGCATTGTTGCTGCGCACGGTAAGTGCATTTAGTTGGTACACTAGGTAGGTGATTTTTTTTATTAGTGCACAAAATAATTGGTGACTACTCCAATTAAGCAGATAAAAATTTAGTATAGGTTCGCTTAGACATATAGAATGCATACAATTTATTATTCAGATATGAAGTTAGAGTTATAGCGCAAAAACACATATCTGAGTAATCAGTTGTATTGGAGCTATACGTTAAAGTGCACCCATTTCGTTAATTTTAAGGAATAATTAAGGTAATATTAAAAAACCCTTATGTGCAAAATTTTAGTAAAATAACTTCAAAACTGAGCTAGTTATTTATAAAATAGTTAAAATTTAATAAAATTTTCAAATACCGTTATCTTGAAAACCGGAGCCAATCTGGTAAAACGGGGGATGCCTTTGAATTAAGAACGTCCCAATTATGTGACTTTAACTTTCAAAATCTTTGCTCAAAATTTTACCACTTGAACAATGTAATTTGAACCCAGCTTTTGTTTTCTATTTTATGTTTATTCCTCGTCTAACTTTGGAAGCACTTGATGAAAATGAATTACACTTGTATTAATCGATTTATTAAGAGAATATGAATAAAATGCTATATAAAAAATAGGTGTGCTCACAAATTTAAAAATTAAAATTTTTTGGAGAGTGTACCAGGGACGTGAACCGGTTTTGAACCGGAAAACAGCTTTTTTCTATTAATTAACTGAACCATTAACCGAACCGAAATTTTCCACAAATGTTTGATCCGAACCGAAAACCGAACAACTTTCCATAACGGTTTACAGATTCGTTTCAATCAATTTTCAAGAGATAAATGTACTTACTTTTTTTTCTTTTTATTAAACATGGTAATACCTACCATGTTTGTTTACCATGTGACAATATATAATGTAAAGACAACCCATCTCATTTGACAGACACTTGACCCTTAACCTTGCGCATTGTTGCACTTGACACTGGACACTTAAACTTGCGCTTTATTTTTTTGTTTTTAGAACCATTGAACTGAACCGAAACTCCGGTTCAACGACCAAAAAAACCGCTTTGACGAACCAATCCAAAAGTGCAGAAACGGTTCGAACCGCTGAACCGAACCGACCAAATTTTTCACCCGGTTCAAGCTAACACGTGTTCGAGGAATTTTTTTTTATATTTTTTTCTTCGGATATATGATTTATCAAAGTTTGAATTTTTTCGTGATTCTGACGAATCATGTACTTATTCAAACCGTTATATCTCGGGTTCTGCTCATCGTAGAGACTTCATCTTAACGTCGTTTTAAAGCTAAAGAAAGGCTTAACATTTCTTAAAATAAGATCTGCATTTTGCAAACTTTAGTCCTGCGATTGCCACGCCCATTTTTAGGGGTTTGTCGCCTTAAAAAAAAAATGGTGCCGTACAAATATTATACCTGGATAGGCATTCTATCGGAGTCTGCAATAAAATTTAAATTCTTGCAAAAACTCTATGTTTAACACCTTACTGAATATATCTCAACATAAGTTTTCGAAAACAAATTACAAAAAATTGCTGACTCTCATAAAATAAACCATCTTGCCATAAAGAAAAATATTTTAAAAATGGTTCTTGAAAAACTCCCATTTTTTTGAACCACGTTTTTTATAGAGAATCAAACAAGGATTACGATGGTATAATTTTAAATCCCTAATTTACTGGTCTTCACTATTCAAATCAACTTCAAAAAGTTCAACTGTTAATAGCTAAGTTAGCTTTAGCACAATCTTGACCATCTTATATGAACAAATGTTAAGCCAGTTTCTTTAGATTTAAGACGACTTTAAGATGAATCTCTACGATGAGCAGAACTTTAAACTTTGATCCATCACTGGTGCCAACTAAACACAAGGGATGACGGAAAATCGTTGTAAAATAAATCATCCTCCCACCTAGTCGGAAAACTCAACCCACATCAACATACAAGTACATAAATGACACATAAGGGTACTTACAAATAGAGTTGTATGAAAAGTCGATAATTTTTAATTCTTTCAAATTCCTTAAGCTTCCAGACTTCAATTCAAGAATTTCATTCCGTGACATGTCCAAATCTTCTAAGACTAATTGTTCCCGAAGCAAACCAGGCGGAAAATGCTTTATTCTATTATCACTAAAATTGATAACAATCAATCGTTGAGCGTGGCAAAATAAATTTATTGGTATTTCGGATATTATATTTTTGCTAACATCTATTAAGTTCAGGTTGCGAAGCTTCCAGAATGTTACCGTATTCAAATTTTCCAGCTGGTTATTTTGAAGACGTCTTGCGATATGAACATTTACAAGAGTTAATGCAATAAATGCCAATAATAAGCAAACTTACTTACAATTGGATAAGGCTATCCAAATCCTTGAATAGCTCAGCTGGTATAAAATTAAGAATATTGTTAGAGAGATCAAGTTCTTTCAGCAGTGTTAAACCACGAAAAGTGTCCTTGTGTAGTGTCGAAAAGAAATTCCGAGAGAGATCGCTGAAAATAGAACAAAACACGAGTATTAGTCTATATCGTCACTAGACACGAATAGAGGCGCACTAGTGTTTTGACGGCGAAAAAATAGCTTAAAAAAATTTAAGAAAAAATACGCTTAAGAAAAACTTCGGCGAGGAAAGACGCGTATCTAGTTGACTACGAACAAAGACGCATAAACGTAAATTTATACCTGGTCAAGGACTGTCACTTAAGCACCATGCCCCAAAAACTCTTTGGGAAATTTACATACTGTTACACCCACTAAACTAAGTTTTCGCGTCTTTCTGTGCCGTCAACTTTGCAGAGTCTTTCTTCGCTGCATTTTTTTATGCCTCTTTTTTCGCGGTCAACTTTTGAGTTTGCGTCTTTATTCGTGTCTAAAGACGATATTCGTGTCTAAAGACGATATATGATAAAGGTAATTAGCTAAAATTGTTTGATGTATTATACATAAGCCATCGTCAAAATTCTTTTCACAAAAAAACAGGAAAGCGTAGATGGAAATTTTCAGATAACATTAAAACTTTTACCATCTTTTGACTTTTCATTTTGAGGAAACTAAGCCCTAGATTGATGGCGATACTAGGATATTGCCACCGGAGGTAAAAAAATGTGGATTTTTAATGGCGGGCGGTCTAATACGGTAAACCTAATGCATATATAAAAGACAAGCGTCCTTCTCCTCACCATATATCGCTGTTATGTTGTAATCCACTTATGGCGTTTGGTTTTTCGGAAGTACAGCGCTTCTTTTTCACCTTCTTACCTTCCTTTTATTAGCTCGGGATGTAACTATGTTATATTAATGCGCCTAAAAGTAGCAGCGATTTCTATTCTCAAGTTACATACCTGATGACAGTACGAATGGCAATTATAATAGGGAGGTTTTAGTTTTTAAACTATAATTTTATTAGATCTTGTACTAAGGCTGTGTGCGAGTACGTCTAAATTGCTACCTAAATAGAGAAAAATCCTAAATCAATGGAAAGTGTCGGTAACGCAGTGAATAGGAACAATTTAGATTTTCTGCGAGCATACTTTTCAACCTAAATTGAACAGTCAAATATATTCGAGCGAGCGATTAAGTGAACAACGATTTTTTTGGTTTTTTAAATAATTTTTATCATTGCTATGGCACAAAAAAGAAAATATTCAGAAAGATGTAAGTATAAATTTATTTGATTTTTGCATTCAGATAAGTATATGTGTAATTCGATGGATGTATATTATTTCGCAGGGTCAGAAGAGCAAACGGATTCTTTTATAGATGCCAGGATGGAACATTCTCCTTTTCTGTTGCAAATTTATTATATTGTTAAATAGTCCCAAAGCTACCGCAAAATTATCCATTTTATAGATATATTTCTTAAAAGCAACAATTCCAAAACAAACCATTTAGGTTGTCCAACGAACTCGCACAGTTTTAGCAGCTGTTTTCCTAAATTGTAGCAGTGCTGGAAATTCCCAGTGGAATATTAGTTTAGGTACTAAAATTTAGGTAAACTCGCACACAGCCTAAGTTATTCGCAGCACAGTCAAATGTACTTTTTGCAATATTTTGTACTCCAGGCCCGGTACTTCTCCGATCTTCTGGACGATAGTCACATGGCCTTGGCAATAAATACGTTCAAACCCTTCAAGTCACCGGGAACCGATGGTATCATACCTGTGCAGCTGCAAAAGGCTTTGGAGGTGTCGTGCAATTGGTTGGCTTCTATTTATGCGAACTGCATGAGGACTGGGTACATCCACATAGAGATTTTAAGCCAATAAGTCGGTGTTCGTTTTTGCTAAAAACGCTAGAGATACCGATAGACCTGTACTTAAGAAATGCGATTCCTCGTGACTGTCTTTCGAGAGCTCTACATGTTTATTTCCAGGAAAGGTCGGTGGATACCGCCCTGCACACATTGGTAAAGTGGTTAGAGTAAGTCTTCACGCATAAAGAATATGCAGTAGGGGCCTTACTCGATATCGAAGGGTCCTTAACAACGTCACTCCAGAGGAAATAGTCAAGTCTATTCATAATCTGGGGGTTGAAACCAACCTAAAAAACTTATCTATAGCTTACTTCGGGACAGAACTTTCGCGGCGGAGTAGGGGAGCGCCTGTACTCAGTTAAAACGGGCACTCCGCAAAGTGTTTTTTTCTCTATCCGGCTCTGGATTGGGGTTGTAAACGACCTTCTATAGGAACTGGAAAAAGTGGGCTGCCAGATGATCGTCTTTGTAGGAGATGTGGAACTTTTGGTTTAGGGACAACTTCTAGATATCTTTTTGATCTCGCTCAAGGTTGCCTGAACCACGTAAGTAGGTGGGCGATCAACGGCGGCCTCGCAGTAAGTCTCAGCAAGACAGAACTGACCTTGTTTACCAGGAAGTACAAGATACCTGTTGTGACCCTTCCTTCGAGTGAAGGTGTTCGGCTATTAGGAAACCGGGTGGTAACACTCGGGAGTTCTAGAGGGCTTTTACTTCGCCTTGAACACATAGATAACAGCACCTACGAAATGGCTCCCATAATCTCCTTCTCTGCCTATACTTCCTCAAGACAGGGCATCATGTATGGAAGGGTGTAAAACAAAATCCGGTACTTAAAAATGCTTATATGTACGTTAACCAGGCCGGCCGCAAACATATACAACGCGCAAACGCCAAAGCTGTGGAGCTGTGTTTTTTGTGATCTGCTTAATTAAATTTTGTATTTTATGAAGCTGTTTACGCTTAATAAAGTAAAAAATTAAAAAAAGTGTTAATAAACTTCTGGTTCACAATTTAAAGATCAGTAAAATATCAAAACTTGCTGTAAATTTGATTAATTTAACTTGATATTCTTAATTGCATGTGCCGAGTATTTTGTTTCATATAATATATTGTTGTTGTACAATTGTTTTTGTTTCTGTACACTGATCTTGCTCTTTTTGTCTTTTTGTCATTTCTGCTGTTTCATCTTTGCCACAGCTGTTTGCGTTGTGTTTATTAGGTGTCAAATATACAGTGCATTTAAAACTGTTCGCTACATAGCTTTCCAACTGATATTTACCAGCTGATTGGTTCTCTGTTTGAAACATCGTTTTCAAAACTGTTTTGCTTTTTTGCTTCTAAAACCTAAAAATAAATATAATTTTAAACATGTCGTGTATTTACACCAATTGCCACGTTAAAAGTGACTCCTATGTGTCATGCTGGCTCTGCGATGGGATTGCCCATATAAAATGTGCTGGTTTGAGCGGTAGGGTGTTAGACGCTATTAACGAGGGAAAGGGGCTTCGTTGGTCTTGTCAAAAATGTAGATCAACCAAAGTTGATTTAATTAAATTTTTAGGCAGTCCAGAAATGGTTTTTCTGAGATTGGGAAAGATCTGTCGGTGCTTGTTGAGAAATTTAAGCATTACGAAAAAATGTTGAGGTGTTTTACATGTCTCGACAACCCTCCACACTCTGAGGATAGCCGAGAAAGTAAAGGTAGGCGTGTTATTAGTCCACCTAGAAAGACAG